CACGACTCGACGTGAAGAGTAATACCTTAGGAAAGGTGTGTCTAGGAGGTATTATTCAAGCGAATAGAGACGGTACTTACCCGTCACCAGTTGCTGTGGATCACAGGGGCAAGCAGTTGGTGCAGCAAGGTTTGTGCCCAAATACTCGACTTCGTCGTCCATGATGACCGTCGATTACAATGTAGAGCAGAAATCTGAAAGTATAGAGGAGAAGGGGGCGGTCTGTGCGTTGGTGGCGGTAAGAATGAGAACGAGTGGGACTTGGTGCTGCCCTCAAGGCCGTGCTTTATCGCCTTGACGTTATTAATCCCGGACCGTGATATCCTTTTCGAGATACCTGCCCGGATTCCCACCGAGAGCCTTCCGAACGATGCACATACTATCACATTCGACGTATTTTAGCTACTCAGACTGCAATGCGAAATATGGAGACAATGGTACTAGACGACAACGTTGAAGGGTAACAAGAAAGTGGAAACGAGAATATATCAAATATGTATGCCATCGACTCAGATGCAAGGAACTTGTCATGATGGTGTGTAATGCGCGAAATAAGGGTGGTTGAGGGCGCGTTTTGCTTCAAATGGGGGTGAGATAGAGAAAAAATGAGCAAGCTTGCTGTACACATACCAGAAATCCGTTTTGCTGTGTCATAGGTCAAAGTGTGCTGCGAAAAAGCATGAGCATCAAGCGCGAAACAATAAATGGAAAAAAATGAAACGCGGTAGTACGATGAACGGTAAAATAATAACACGACATACCGCAAGTAAGTCCAAGCCTTGTTCATCGAGATTAGGTACGACACTCTTGAGCTCCTGCTTCGACCACCGAGGGAATGTATCCTTGTAATCAGGCAATTGAGTAACGCCCGGCCAAGTCTCTTCGTTTGGCGTGCCGAGAATCCTGGATTCAAACGGTCTAGTTTCAGTTGCTCCATCAAGTCAATCTCGTTGTTTACCTGAAGATCTTGAAGATCTGGTCAATCTCAGAGTCGCCAGGAAACAGAGGACTCCCACGCATCACCATCTCAGCAAAGATGCACCCTACCGACCACATGTCAATAGCCGTCGAGTAGTGCCGGGAACCGAGCAAGACTTCAGGTGCGCGGTACCACAACGTGACTACCTAAAGTGACAGCACAAACGCTCAGCTCACGATGTCAAATGGAAAGAGGGGTGCTCATTTACCTCGTGGGTGTATGTTCTCATCGGAATACCAAATGCTCTTGCGAGGCCAAAATCTGCGAGTTTGAGATTGTTTTTCTTGTCGATAAGCAGATTTTGAGGCTTGAGGTCGCGATGCAAGATTCGGTGCGAATGACAGTACAAGAGGCCAGCATTGAGTTGATGAGTAAATCTCTGTGATGTGATAGGAAAACGGTTAGTTAAATTGCCGAATCACGTGTCTCCCTAGTATCACATCACATCCCCTATCACAATCGATGTGACGATGTCAATCTGAAAATGCGTGTAGATGAAATTAAGGCCAAATACAATAATAGCGCGGGCCAAGCATTCCGATGACTCGCGCCAGCGGAAAGGCCATGACCGCAGCAACTGGTTGACGTCTTCGCATCAAACTACGCGTCGAAGCGCGGAACACGCGTCCACCGCGCGTCAGAAATCATAAATGAGGGGGAGGGTACCGATAGGGAACGATGATTTCAAAGGCCAAGCTGACTCACCTTAACTATGCCGATAGAAATGGGTGTACCGGATGAGTTGGCGTTTTCCATGTAGCGCTTCAAGTCTACATCCAAGAATTCAAAGACCAGATAAAGCTTCTGCTCAGCGTGCACAATATCAAGCAGTCTAGCACAGCCATTTAGTCACAAGGAGCAGTTAACACCGTTTGAGACACCGTACCTAACGATATTGTCATCCTTGAGCTCCTTCAGCAGACTGATTTCTCGGATGGCAGTGCTTGGGACTCCTTCGTCCTCTGCTTCAAGTCGGATTTTCTTGAGGGCTACAATTTGATTTGTAGTCACGTCCCGCGCTTTATACACGACACCATATGTGCCTAAACATGCGTGAGCGATAAACAGCGAAAGTACGTGGACTGTGAGCGTACCTTCTCCTACAACGCGCGCCACACCAGTTCATTGTAGTCTGGGGTGAACACACGACTGGGACGCACCGACTTTCTCTATTTTCGCGTAGCTACAGTCCAGTAAAGTCAATTGGCAACCACTGTGAGCATGAAGCGAGGTGCGTACCGATCCATGTGTCAAAAGAGGGCACAATCTGTGTTAACTAGAGAAAGCGAGTATCGGTATCAATCGAGCGTTTATCGCTTGAATGAAAGGGAAATGGAGTGTACAGGACAATCCAGATGAATCTAGGCGGGTAATGCAGAGATCAAGTAAAGGCAAGCTCGCCAACCCGTGATTGCACGAGTTGATTATTTGAATTAGGTAAGCTCTACCAGGACCGTCAATTTCCTGTTGCTCAGCTTAGATTCACAATATTGTCGAGCGCTCGTAACTAACCCGTAGAGAGAGGCGTGACGATGGAATGGAGTGGAGATATGCGCCGGGGTTGTGCACCTGCTCGAGGTCATATAAAGAGCCCTTCGGCAAAATGCGACCACCGCCACATTCAGGCTAGTACCTGTCAGTTGGTCACCTCTCACCAAATCGTTTATGCAACTTCATCCGTCTTATTTCCTGCTTGACAAGGTATTAAGTACTACAAATATCTCGTCCTGTTTACTTCCACATCTTAAATTTCGTACTTTCCTTCAGGCTAACTAGTCCCTCCGAAGGTGCTCCCCAATGACAGCCATGAGTGAACTCCTTTTCTGCCACTCGCTGCACAGAAACGGCATGTCCAAAGGAGCACCGTCGGACCGGAGCTTTCGAGGTGGCTGGAATAATATCAGCAAGCATTCCTGCTGTCTGCCGCTCGGTTGTCAAGGCTTAACAATAGAGTCACCTTCCCATGGACTCAGATTTTGCCTGTGAAACAGTCACCGTTGTCACCGCTTCGCTTCAGCGCCATGAAGTTCATGGTAAGCTTGGCCTCAGGGCAGCATTTAATTTATTAATGCTCTTGCCACGTAGACCCGGTTCACTGTTGGACTTTGAATGTGGTCTTGGCGGAGCAACCACATGTACCAGACACTGAGACAATGTTATTGCACTACGTTGAGTTATAAACGATAGTAATGTGACAAATCTACCCGAAATTGAGTGCAGGTCATCCTTCCATTTCGTCATGCAATCCGGGTGAGCCATCGTGTTATCACAGCGAATCGTTCATCTTGCCCCTTGTAATATTGACACGTTCATTTGATAATAGCTTATCAGTGCTGTGCACTAAATTGACAGCAGTAATCCTGATCCCCTAACTACTACGGAGTCCTCTTACGGGTGGTAGAGTACAATCACGTCGATATTACATTTAGCGCGGGCCCAGTAATTATTTTTATTTACCCCGGGTGCGGCCAATTTATGTTCTCGTTTTGTCGTCGCATACGTGTGACGTCAATGTATTGACCGGGGTATGGCTCTTCACCTGGCAGAAATGTTTCAAAAGTCAAACGAAAGGACTTTTAAGCCACTTACTCCGATCGATGAGGTTGACATCCAGGTCATCGTCATCATCCTCCTCGTCAGACGCCCAGCGGTCCTCTGCGGCCGCCTTGGGATTTGTGGCACGATCGACCGCAAGATCTTTCATGAGGCGGTTCATAGAGTCTTCTTTTACATCCTGCAAGTGATTTTTCTCGTGCAGCGCGGGCGCGTTCGAGTTCCGGGAGATATTCACTATAGACGCGAAAAAAAATGAGAGTAAAGCAGGAATAACGAAGATGAAACGTACGTCCTATATGTCTCCCGAGACTCTTCCACTGCCTCAAAAAATTCCTTGATACCGTCACCTGTCCTGCTTGAGACACCCACGGCCTGCAGTACAGTCAGGTATGCTTCAACATAACAACGTAGCGAAATTACCTTGAGGTGCTTGTAAAACTCATCCAAAACCAAGCTCATGCTATTCATCAAGCTGTTCATGTAGGTCGGTTCGCCTTCAGAGTCCCTCGACCCTGAATGCGACGCAAGAGCGACTTGGAACGCCTCAAAATCTTGCATCCATTCGAGAGCGAAATTGTGAGGTTGTGCGTCAGTCTTATTAAAGACAAGGATGAATGGCAATTTTGTCTTGTACATGATGCTAATAAACCGTCACGAATTACTGACCCGATGTTGATCACGAAGTACCTACCTGCAGGCATACAGCATGTTGGACATGAATGTCGCAGGTGCTGTCGTCCGCGGGGTGTCAATGATGTATGCCACCACAGTTGGAAACGAGGAAGCAACGGCATCTGTAATAATGGCGCCAGACGCTGACCAGGTAAAAATCTCAATCTGACCCGGCGTGTCAAGAATTATATAACTACATGAGCGCATAAGAAGTAAGAGCGAATGCAGAATAAAAATTGACAAGTACTCACTCGACTGTCTCGGCCCTTTTCTCGACCAAGTCCAGAACCTGGTCGAATTTCGTCGTGAAAAGATTCAAGGCGGTCAAGATACCACCGTTCGGGCCCAAGTTATACCTTGCATCGCAATAATCCATTCCGTTATTCAAGCACTACCGTCCAGATGGAAACAGCAACACACTGTTTCATGACCTCTTTGTAATTAACAGTATCCCGGATATCGATGTTGGCTTCGAACGGCAAATGAGTGACTGCCGGGTCGAGGTTGAGGATGTATGGCGGTTGTGGAGGATTTTGTGAGTGGAGGTAGGAGTTGATGCGTTGCACGAAGGTGGACTTGCCAGCCCCTGCCATTCCGATCGTGATGATGACATGCGGTTTTCTCTTTCGAACTCGTGTCCGGTTGACTGCTCGAAGATGCACTCATGCTGGTGAAAGGGAAGTTTCCCCTAGGCAAACCAAATTGAAGGATCGTTCCTTCGTAGTGAAAGGGAGGTTCTAGATCTAATCAATCCTTCGACAGGTGCGTTCTTTGCATCTTAAGTACACGTGATGCATTGATGGTGTAGCGGTAACATGCGGTCTTCCCAGGTATCTTGGCCGCGCTCCGAGTTCGACTCTCGGTCAATGCAAAAATGTGCCGCACCTCCTGTGAAACGAATTTTTGCATACGAAAGCATTCAAGCAAGCAATACAGAAGTTGAACAAATCCAACGTCGTGTAGATGGAAACGATCCGTTGTGCACGCGCAGCGTGAGTCCTTCAACCACCCCTCCTTCGAGACAGACCACTCCGAAACCAAAATGCGGCAAACGAGCAGCTAAGGCTGGCGCCCATAAAGAAACGTTCTTCTCCCAGCTTCTGGAGTTGTCGGAGAAGCATCTCGCAGACTTTGCCTTGTCGCGGTTCTGTCGTGCGTAGTCTCACCAGCAACTTTGAAGGTGTGAAATTCAAAGGTTTCGACTTTGAATCAACTTCCAATGGACCACTGCCACAGGAAATTGCACCCGGACGCTTTTTCTGTGGGACTTGCTGAAACAAATATTTATGCGCTATTGCAAAATAAGAACGTCAACGTTCTCGCAACACACGAAAGACTTTGCGGATAATACTTAAAGGCGCAACAATGCTTCCTTACCCTAGCCGCAGAGCCAAGTGTTTTGCTAATCGCCAGTGGGGACTGACAGACGTGTACGAGTTAGTAAGGTAAGCACCTCTCACACCGTGATCACTTGACCCTGACCAAACAGAAGCCGATGCACAAGACGAAATTCTAGGCACTAGGCCTCTCCCCCTGCAGTTCGTATCTCAAATCCTGCGAACTCACATCAAGTGTCTTAAGTGGAACTTCATAGAGAACGTTCGAACGTGACTATATACAATATTGTGCGAATGCGACATTCTGGTCAGTGGTGATCATTCCTTCTCTTTTACTTGTTTCGAATACTTATTGTACGTATGCATATGTCCAGGTTGACGTGTAATACACATGCGATTTGACATGATCTTGCCCCGTCGGGTGTCACATGCACAACCCTGCACAACCCCATTCCTGCACTGTCTTTATTGTTCTACGACAACCGGCAAGGTACATTCTAGGACCGCCTCGGACCTCCACACGCAGCCGAAACCATATTAGCGTAACTTGTCCAAGAAGATGAATGATTGAGTCAGGTTAGTCCAGGAGTTAAAATAGGTCTGTACGTTTCTAACACACGACAAAAGACGGAGCCGGCTGCGCAATATCAACTAGTCTCGTTCTTTGATTTGAACTGGCACACAACATGATGCTGCTGACTGCCGCGGCTCTCACTCTCTTTGCCTCCTTCTTCCTCGGTGTTGCAGTGGGTAGTCCAACCGGCCACACGGTGAGGCTTCCCGCTCGTGGACAAGCAGGATTAGAAAATGTACAACTCCCCCAAGAAGCTCAATGCGCTGTTTGTCCAGAAGAGATAGAGACAGATGGTGGCACTGCAACACTCACTTTTGATCAAGCGACAAATGACGGGATTACTATGTGCATGTGAGTTTGCTCATGTTCAACTGTCGACGTTTACTCACCACGCGTGTAGCTACAGCGAGAGTTCCGGCACGGAAATTGTCTGTCCCTACGTAACAGTGAGTGCAGCGCAAGCGAATGTGACATTTCCTGATAGTGGTGGGAACACAGGACACCGGAGAGCTGAATGGTACAGTCCAATACTGCCCACAAACAGTTGCTCTTGAGGACTGTGTCAACAGTTAAACATCCAATCGAGCATGCGGATTGGTCGAATGACGCAAGACATACATTAAATGTCCTTGAACCATAAATAGGTTGGAGGCAAGACGTCCTCATACCAGGCATTATAATGGCTACAGGATAGCCCTCTATACCACTTTCTATAGCTTTGCAGCTATCCATTTATTCTGTTCTACCTCCATGTACACGGTTCACTTATATACTCATCTATTCGTCTTGTCATGTTGCACAGATCCTGATCCCAAAGCATACCATCATCCCGACAACCTGGAGTTGTGTCCGTTTTCGATGAACGAACCGCACACGCATGATACAGGGGTTCACAAATATCAATAAAACACAAATCTAGGACACACAACACTACAAAGAGTCAATGACAGTGGAGTAAAACGTTCTTGGGGGGCTATTCTGGCATCTCGAATTACAGGTAAATGTTGATCGGAGAGCACCCAATGTTAATGAGGCCATACTGCAAACAAGTTTCGGATGTCAGGGTGCAAATTACGGGCAGCAGCAAACGACCCACGTATGTATTGCCGCTGCAGCAGACAGGCTCCTGGTTACACACCGCGCCGCTACCGGCGCCGATGACGCTAATGGGACTGCAGCCCAATCCAACGTTCCCCTCGATGGGCCCGAGTATGATGCCCAGCAAGCCTGTGATCGAGCTCAGCGCTGTGCTGTCGGACTGTTCACATGTCAAAGATAGGTCGACACCGGTCAAAAGAAACTACGCACTGAATATGTGGTTTGGCAGCATGAGACGGTGCCCGTGTTGCACTGTGCACCGGAACTGCAGGTGCTGCTGTCACGAGCAGATAATGTGGGTACAGCGCTGGTTCCTACAGCGAATGCGAGAAGCGTGGTGAGGACAACAGAAGGAGCGAACATGTTTGTGTGGTGTTAAAATTTGAGAGGGAAAATGAGTGACAAAGTGGGTTGATGAAGAAAGGTTACAAACTACCCGAAGACTTTATACCAGCCGCGTCGGCCATGGATATGCGGCGCTAGAACTATGAAAGCTGTCGTATGGGGGTTGAACGTTCTGTACCTTTCCGTCAAGCGCGCACTGAGAATTGCATGAAATGCACATCGCACGAACTAGGTCTATTAACGGTCTCGGCCACGCACCATTAAAATTTTATATACAGTGACTGCGCGTACCAGCGCCCATGTTGTATACACGATTGATGAGGCTCACACTGTCAAATAATTGTCAATCGTACGAGTCCTTCAGCAACGCAACTTCTCACTCTGGGTTTGAGCTATCTTCAATTTGGTTACAGTGACCTGTGTAAGTACGTACAGATGGGTAATGGACTGCGAGATTGTTCGCCTCAGCTTCATATCAACTTACGGGCAGGTACCATCGCCGAAGCTGCATGAACGTCGGCATGCCAGCTCATGCCAGCTTGCTTGATGAGCCCGTCATGCCAAGTTTCAAATCTAACACGTAAGTACCTGTAACAAATACCAGTGCATCATGATACTTACCCAGGGCCTTTCGAAGGATTCGCCGACTTCGAGTGTATGAATCCGTCCGTGTATTAAGCCAATTGGACAAAATTTATGAATTTGAAAATGTCGACGTAATGTCCAAGTATGGAAGGTTACTTTGAACACGCCAAATTCGGTTGTCGAGGAACTAAAATCACAAGTGCCTGATCAGTGCAGCGCCTGAAGACGCGTGCCTCTCACTTGAGTCCATATGATCCAGTACGATTGAAGATCAGAAAAATGTACAGCCCTCGTGGCAAGATACGTAAGTAGTAGGTGTCAAACACGGGGGTTGGGGGGACATCACGCACGGTCCGCGGATGCAGACATCAAGATCCTCAAATATACATCATGATGTAGCATAATTAGAAACTGCGAGGGGGAGATGCGGGCCTCACAGAGAATTGTATCAATGAGAAAGACAGGTTGCTCGAAAGGGTGACTGCCACGCATCTACCCAGTATTAGTTACAGCAGCATTCGATTCTATGATCCCTCCATAGATGAATCAGGACGTTTCTCGATCCTGCCTTCCTCAAGTGGGTCGGATGCAAGGGGTTTATGCGCCTCCGCGGCTCTGGTTTGATCTATGAGATCCTGACGCGAGGAATACCCGGGTGGTGCCCATTCACGGGAAGTCCAAGGTTTGCAATTAGGGTCGGTGTACATCTGATGTCAACAATGCTTAGATCAATAGACCAGCAAAGAAGGGAAACTTACCATGTCAACACTTTCTAGTGAAAGATTAGATGATTCGTAAAGGAAGAAATATACGACTACGGCTCCAGTCAAGTTGCAAGCTGGATAATCAAAGTACTCAGTTGAATATTGCGCCGTTAACGCCGGAAGACGTCGTACCTGCAAAGACATAACCGTAGCGGTAGCTAATGGCACTACTGATGAAGGGCGTGAAGAACGCCAATAGGAAATTCCAAACCCAGTTTGCGGCGGTGGACAGACTGCCTTGTTTGGCACGGGTCCGTGTGGGGAACGTTTCTCCGATTAGAATCCAGACACCACTGCCGAACGTCAGTCAATCGCAAGATCACAGTGTGGAAATCCTTACGGAGCCCAAGTCATCGCATAACCCAAGATAAACATGCAGGCCGATACGATCATCACTTAAGATGCTAAGTCAGCGACAGGATACGCAAATGAAATAGCATCCCACATTTTCCAACGCCAGGATGAGTCGTAGGATCTACAGCAGTTCCAGCAGAGGCGAAGACGAAAAGCCATGCTGATTGCCAGATCCCTCCAATGATCAGAGGTCTGCGACGCCCAAACTAGACAGAGTGAGAAACGTGCCAGTGACTCTCTCACTTATAAACGGGAGGTGTCGCTTACCCTTTCAAGGACATACATTCCACCAAATGTACAGACAAAGTTGACAGTACCAAGAATGATCTGAGTCACAAACGAGTCTTGGAGACCTACTGCTTTGAAGACAGTTGCGCCGTAGTAAAAGAAGTAATTGGCGCCTGTGAGCTGTTGAAGGCTCTGTAGACTCATTCCAAGAAGAGTGCGGTAGAGAGTCTTGTTTTGTGGCCTAAAGCAATCAATCCACCCGCCGCGAATCTGCTTTTCGTGTTGGACAGACGACCTGATTTCCTCGACCTCGCGAACGATGACGTAGTGGCTCTTTGCCTCTTCTTTGGGAATACCACGAGAGCGCGCGAGAGATATCTGAGCCTCCTCTAATTTATCGTGCGCGGCAAGCCATCTAGAGGAATGATTACACAAACTAGAAAAGGAAACGAGAACGCTGATACTAACCTAGGACTTTCTGGCATGAAGAGGATGCCGATGCCAAGAATCAACGCCCACAGTATGCCGACACCAACAACGATGCGCCATGAACCAGAGTTAGGGACGTTCCGGGTTCCGATAGAGA